GAGCCATTTGATTCACACAATCAAATGTGCAAAGAATAGAAATTCACTCAGTACCTTAGGATGGGGTTGCTACCTTCTCATCTTTATAAATTAAAGTGCTATAGGGCTCCAACATAAAGGGTGGGAAAACTGACAACTTCCTTAGCTAGCATATTGGCCAGATATGAGACAGAAAACAATGAAGTAAAAAACATTGATATCAAGGAGGAGGATCCAAGAGCGAGGTGAGAGAGGCCATCTCCGTCTCCCGCTTCTACAATAAACCCTGTGAAACGGTTAAACTATAAACCTGCCAAAACATACTCTACTCCCAAGAACTCCTCACACAGTCAAGCTTTCCTGTCATTGCATCACCACCTAGATCAAGATATTCCTGGCCTTTGGAACACCTCTCCACAAGAACCCTAACCTAGTTGTACTCCCAAAGCCACCATCGCTAAGTCCTCTACCTCACCTTTAGTCTTATTAAGTAGGAGGATTGGCAATTAGGAAGCTAAATGGTGGTGGAGGTTTGCTACACAAGAAGGATGTTTGTGGCAGCAGGTCATCTGCCATGGGTATGGGCTTGATGATTCAGGCTGGCTGCCCAATGTTTCAGCCAATGCTTGGGCCTCGGGGGCTTGGAAAAAGATTCTATCTTCCCATTTGCCTTTTATCAGTAGATTGAGATTCTCAGCAAAAACTGGGAACCATGTTGGCTGAGGAAGGATATGGCTGGGTGATAGTATTATGAATTTGCTTTTCCCACTTGTTGTGGCTGACCAATATGTGACTTTTTTTACTCATATTAGTTCTTGGGTGGTCATCTGGTTTGGTTGTGTAAGATTAGGAGAAACCTCAATTATGAAGAGATTGAAGAGATTCCGGATTTTGAAGCCGTTTTGTCCGTTCTCAACTGTCAATTTCTCCCCCAAAGTGGTGAGCATAAGTTGGCGCGGGAACCAGCTCCCTCTTGCTCCTTTTCAATGGTATCCTTTTATATCGAACTGTGACCTAACAGTGAGGTCCCTGTCCTGGCCAGCAAGGTTTGGTTCGATACTGCCCCTCCAACAATTCAAATTTTTGGCTAGCTTGTCATTAGTAAAAAGGCCCTCAGGGTTGAGAATAGCCAGCGGAGGGGCATTCACCTAACCATCTGATGTGTAATGTGCAAAGCTAGTAGGAATCAATAGATCACCTTTTCGTCTACTGTACAGTGGCTAGCCAGATACAATCATTCCTGCATAATCTGTACAGAGGGTGTTGATTGACACCTGAAAAAATGCAGCAATTGATTGCTGCTTGCCCCCTCCCCCCCCTCCCTTCCCCCTCCCGGCCCCGAAATTCCCTGCCTTGGTTTTGCTTCTTTGGCGAGACTTCATCCTTGCCTAGGTGTGACCATATGTCTGGAATATAACAACCATATCTTTTAGGGTGTTGAGTCCCTGCTGGGGACCATTAAGGACGGATAAAGACCACCTTCATGTTTTGGGGAAGAAACTGAAAGGAGGTCACATCCTATTGGTCGGCAGACTTTGCTCTTAGTTGCAAATCTATCATAAATTCACACAAATGTCCATCTCTAGATCCTCGCACTGAATAGCATGGGAACAAGTACTATCAAAATCAATTTTGACTGATGCTCTCTTGCCAACCCAGGACCAGTAGTTGGGGGCATTTTCAGAGACAGTTCAGCTGGGTTGCTGCTGTCTTACTTCGGTTGATCAGAGTTGCTTCATTGACCATAGTCAAGGCTAAGGCACTCCTAGAAGGCCTCAAATTATTCAATAGAATCTGGGTTCCCTCACTGCTAGTTGAAGGGAATTCTAAGAATTCCCTCACTGCTAGTTGAAGGGAATTCTAAGAATGTGATTGATTGGGCAAAGAGGTCCTCCCCAGCGAATGGAGTTTGGAACTAGTGTTCAACCAAATTTCAGAGCTTTGTAGACCTTCACTTTACCTTAAGACTGCCTGGTGAGAGGCCTATGCAGCCGTAGACACACTAGCCAAAGAGGAGTTTTGCAATTAATCATCCCCAATCAAAAGAGGCGTTACATGTCCCTTGTTTTTTGTTTCTTATTTTTTGTACAAAACTATACACAGCCTGTCCACAATTTTGGGCCGCGATGATTACAGGCAATCTGTATACCTTTCTATACTTAATGATACAGTCAAGTACTTCACACACACACACACAAAAAGACACTAGTTCACGAGCTTACTAAATGATGTGTGAAAATGAGCTGAGAATACTCTCTCTCTCTCTCTCTTTTATCTAATCATGCAGAACAGGGGGACAAGCATAAAGCAGTATTGTCAAATTCGCTTTGCTTCAGCCGAAGAGGCAGGAGGAGCCTTTGGATTTTAGGCCTAGACGGAAGCGAAGCAAAGCTTGGTGCGGCCGCTTTGGTCAGATACGAGTTTGCTTCGGGCAGATTCGGTCGAAGCTTTGGCCTCTTCAGCCCAAGCAAAAAATATCTATATAAAAGTATTCTTTTAATTCTTTTTAATTTTTTTAAATTTTTTTAGTTTTTTTTGAAATTTTTTCTTTAATTTTTTCATTATTTTTATATATTGGTGCTGCCGCTTCTGTCAGATTTGGGCCGTTTCAATTAGATTCAGGTATGCTTCAGACAGATTTGGCCGATACTTCAGCCTCTTCGGCCCAAGCAAAGAAATATTTATATAAAAGCAATGGTTTAAAAAACAGATCGGTGGCCCGGATCGGGCACCCCAAAAACCCATCCGGATCGGTGATTCGGATCGGGAATCGGCCGAATCGGTCGGATTAAGCTGTAAAAAAAAATTTATTAAAATTTATTATAAATGTTGTTTTTTAGGAATCCAATAAGAAATCGGGTTACTGTATTATTAATTTTCATTTTTTTCATCAATATGTGTCTGTATGAACTTATTTTAACCATTAAATTACATCACACAAAATAAAAATCATAGAACTATCATGGATGAAGTATATAATCATACATGGACTACAATAAAGAATGATTTTTTTATAAGAACATTTTAGTTTTTTTGACAAAAACCTTTTATTTTTTTACAAGAAATGTTTGTCGTATTACCTTTTTTTTTGTTTTTAGGAAGAACCATTTTTTTGACCAAAAATACTTGTTGTATTAATTGATTTTATAAGAACTCTTTTTTTGACAATAACTTTTTATTACTTTTTATTTTTTTGACAAAAACCTTTTATTTTTTTGACAAAAAAAACGAAATTTGACAAGAAAAATAATTGATAAGAACCTTGCATGTTTTTTTTATAAGAAACTTTTTATTTTATTGATAAGAAAATTTTTTGACAAAAAGCAAAATTGATAAAATTTTTTTTCATTTTTTTGATAAGAAAAAAATTTGAGAAAAAGCGAAATTGATAAAATAACCTTTCATTTTTTTCTTATGACAAAAAATACTTGTTGTATAATTATTTTTTTATAAGAACTTTATTTTTTTTGACAATAACACAAAATTTTTTTTATTTTTTTGACGAAAAAAAGAAATTTGACAAGAAAAATAATTGATAAGAACCTTTCATTTTTTTTTATAAGAAAATTTTTATTTTATTGATAATAAAAAAATTTGGCAAAATGCAAAATTGATAAAAAAATATTTCATTTTTTTGATAATAAAAAAATTTGACAAAAAGCGAAATTGATAAAAAAAGCTTTCATTTTTTTTATAAGAAAAAAATTTGACCTAAAAAAAAAAAAATTGACAAGAAAAATATTTATAAGAAAAAAATTTGACCTCAAAAAAATAAAATTGACAAGAAAAAAATAAAATTGACAAGAAATATAGTTGACAAGAGAACCCCCTTTCGTCCCAAAGAGAATCGAACCCACGCCGGAGAATCGAGCCCACGAAATTTATAACCAATAAGCCACATGCTACTTAGTAAGCGCGAACAAAATATATAATATATTAA